CATTCAGTATCAAGTGAAACAACAGTGTGATGGAGCTCCAGTACTCCAAATAAATACCTATGCCAAATCTGCTTCCTCATAGCTATAAGGCACCTTGGAGCACTTCTGACCCAGTCACCAAGACTTGACTGGGATGCTGAGGACCACCATGGACCAGGCTACTAGTACTATAACCCTGGACACCCTTTCATCAGCAGATAAGTAATCAGAGCTCTTTTTCCAAACCAAACACCAGACGACACTTGGTGAAGGTAAAAATAAGAACTCCCTTTAATGAACACAGCACACATATTTATGCCCCCAACAGTCTAATTTACATTCAATATGGTGAATAGAGCACTTTAGTACATGGAAGGTTGGGGCCAGACAATAGCAAGGGCTGAGAAACAAATGGGAGATTGAGGAGGGACAGGGCAGCTAGTTTAAACTGGTCTGGCAGTGTCCCTGGAACAGCTCCCTGCTGGGGAAACAATAGGGCAGTAAAAAGGGGGAGGAGAAAGGCACAGACAATCGATACATTCAACATACATAGAAACATAGAATGTGACGGCAGATAAGAACCATTCTGCCCATCTAGTCTGCCCAATTTTCTAAATACTTTCATTAGTCCCTAGCCTTATCTTATAGTTAGGATAGACTTATGCCTATCCCACACATGCTTAAACTCCTTTACTGTGTTAACCTCTACCACTTCAGCTGGAAGGCTATTCCATGCATCCACTACCCTCTCAGTAAAGTAATACTTCCTGATATTATTTTTAAACCTTTGTCCCTCTAATTTAAGACTATGTCCTCTTGTTGTGGTAGTTTTCTTCTTTTAAATATAGTCTCCTCCTTTACTGTGTTGATTCCCTTTATCCCGCTATATACATGTTAAGATCCTTTAACCTTTCCTGGTAAGTTTTATCCCGCAATCCATGAACCAGTTTAGTAGCCCTTCTCCGAACTCTCTCTAAGGTATCAATATCCTTCTGAAGATATGGTCTCCAGTACTGTGTACAATACTCCAAGTGAGGTCTCACCAGTGTTCTGTACAATGGCATGAGCACTTCCCTCTTTCTACTGCTAATACCTCTCCCTATAAAACTAAGCATTCTGCTAGCATTTCCTGCTGCTCTATTACATTGTCTGCCTACCTTTAAGTCATCAGAAATAATCACCCCTAAATCCATTTTCTCATATGTTGAGGTTAGGACTCTATCAAATATTCTGTACTCTGCCCTTGGGTTTTTACGTCCAAGATGCATTATCTTGCACTTATCCACGTTAAATGTCAGTTGCCACAATTCTGACCATTTTTCTAGTTTACCTAAATCATTTGCCATTTGGCTTATTCCTCCTGGAACATCAACCCTGTTACAAATCTTAGTATCATCAGCAAAAAGACATACCTTACCATCAAGACCTTCTGCAATATCACTAATAAAAATATTAAAGAGAATGGGTCCAAGTACAGATCCCTGAGGTACCCCACTGGTGACAAGTCCAAGCTTCGAATATATTCCATTAACTACAACCCTCTGTTGCCTGTCACTCAGCCACTGCCTTACCCATTCAACAATATTTGAATCCAAACTTAAAGATTGCAGTTTATTGATAAGCCTTCTATGTGCAACAGTGTCAAAAGCCTTACTGAAATCTAGGTAATCAATGTCTACTGCACCACCCTGATCTATAATTTTAGTTACCCAATCAAAAAAATCAATAAGATTAGTTTGACATGATCTCCCTGAAGTAAACCCATGTTGTCTCTGATCTTAAAATCCATGTGTTTTTAGATGTTCAACAATCCTATCCTTTAACATGGTTTCCATCACTTTCCCCACTACTGAAGTAAGGCTTACTGGCCTAAAGTTGCCCGACTCCTCCCTATTACCTTTCTTGTAAATGGGCACAGCATTCGATAACTTCCAATCTTCTGGGACTACTCCTGTTAACAATGATTGGTTAAATAAATCTGTTAATGGTTTTGCTAGTACACCACTAAGCTCTTTTAATAGCTTTGGGTGTATGCCATCAGGTCCCATTGACTTATTTGTCTTTACTTTTGACAGTTGAAATATAACCTCTTCCTCTGTAAACTCACGTGTAATAAATGACTCATTTATCCTTTTTCTTAACTGAGGTCCCTTTCCTTCATTTTCATCTGTAAATACAGAACAAAAATATTAGTTGAGGCAGTCAGCTAGACCTGTATCCTCTTCTACATACCTTCCTTCTTTTGTTTTTAATCTAACTAATCCTTGTTTTACTTTTCTTTTCTCATTTAAGTATCTAAAAAATGTTTTGTCCCCCTTTTTTACTGACTGTGCTATTTTCTCTTCTGTGTGTGATTTGGAAGCTCTTATAACTTGCTTAGCCTCTTTCTACCTAATCTCATAGACCATTTTGTCTTCCTCACTCTGGTTTTTTTTTATAATTCCTCAATGCTAACTTTTTGTTTTTAACTATTTTGGCCACATCTGCGGAGTACCACAGTGGTTTCTTGATTTTTTTTGCTTTTACTGATAAGCCTAATGCAATTTTCTGTTGCCTTCAATAGTGCAACTTTTAAATAATCCCATTTCTCTCCATACATTCCCTGCACCAATACTGCGCACAGGGTGCCAAAACACAAGAGTAATCTGGGTACCATACATAGTGTCTGTCTTCCATCCCCAATTATGGTGACTACCTTCACATATTTTCCCCACCAAATGTAGACCAACCAGGTACCAGACCTCCAATCGGTCTGTGCCTGAGTTAGTTGGGTAACGAGTCCAAAAAAGTCAATCAATGCTGGCAACCTCTTTGACAAAGTTCCACATAGTGTATATGTTTACTCCAGTCAGGTGCATAGAGCCCTCATAGCCAATCAGTGCATGAAAATCTGATTTGGGCAAGCCAGACTGGGCTTCCTGGTCACCCTGTGCCCATAATAAGCACAGGGTGACTTAGACATAAGAGGGGACTTGGAAGACAAGAAAGAGAGATCCCAGTGAACCTGCCATGGCCCCCACCCAAACTCTCATGGGGCCTCCGTGACACCACACATCCCAACAGCAAATCTGGAACCCAGTACCTCCAGCCCAGGATAGTTCCCATCACATTTCTATCCCTTCGAAAAGAGACACTCAAGACGGGTTGAATTGCAAGTTAGTCAGTGCATCCAGCTCACCAATGCCATCATCAAATCGGTACCCCCAAAAAATTGCCCATGCAAGAGCAGCACTCCTCCGGCCAACCTCATCCTCTCCCAAAGCATATATCCACCAACTGGAAAAAAGTGTCCACTGCCCCTTCTCGGGGTAGAGGAGAAAAAGGGGGAGAGGGAAA